ATATATACATATAGATCTATATGTATATATACATATAGATCTCACATACATTTAAAACATATGTTTTTATGAAGTTGGCTCCATGCCCAGTGTGCTGCCCAACGCAGGCCTTGAACTAGTGACCCTTGAGATCAAGACCCTGAGCTGAGACCAAAAGTCAGATGCTTAAACTGAATGAGCCACCCAGGTTCCCCCTCATATATATTTAATTGGAGTGTCAGAGGGTAAGGAGAGAGAAAGGAGCATAGGCAATGTTTAAAGAGAAAAATGATAATGCTGAAAGAGGTGTTTGTTTGTTTTAAGATTTTATTTGGGGCGCCTGGGTGGCTCAGCGGGTTAAGACTCTGCCTTCGGCTCAGGCATGATCTCAGGGTCCTGGGATTGAGCCCCGCATCGGGCTCTCTGCTCAGCAGGGAACCTGCTTCCCCCTCTCTCTCTGCCTGCTGCTCTGCCTACTTGTGATCTATTTCTCTGTCAAATAAATAAATTTTTTAAATTTTTTATTAAAGATTTTATTTATTTATTTGACAGACAGAGATCACAAGTAGGCAGAGAGGCAGGCAGAGAGGGCGGGGAGGCAGGTTCCCTGCTGAGCAGAGAGCCTGATGCGGGGCTCCATCCCAGCACCCTGGGATCATGACCTGAGCCGAAGGCAGAGGCTTTAACCCACTGAACCACCCAGGTGCCCCTAAATAAAATCTTTTAAAAAAAGGTTTTATTTATATGAGCAAGAGAGATTGAGAGAGCATGAGCAGGGGCGAGGAGCAGAGAGAGGGCGGAGCAGACTCCCCGATGAGCAGGGAGCACAGGAAGGGCTTGGTCCCAGGTCCCAGGGACCAAAGCCAGAGCTGAAGGCAGACTGGTAACCAACTGAGCCAGCCAGACACCCCTGAAAGATGTGAATCCATAGATTAAAGAAGCCAAATAAGACTAAAGTGAGCTAAATAAAGACGTCACGGGGATAAATGCTAGGGTATTTAGGATGAAGTGTTATAATGTCCACATCTTATTTTCAAAAGGTCAGGATGATAGTTTTTATAGGCAAAGAGATAAAGCAAATGAAGCAAAATGGTAAAAATGGGCAAATCTAGGTGAAGGTACATGGATGCACGTTGTACTCATCTTTCAGTATTTCTGTAGGTTTGAAATGTTTGAAAATAAAAGCTTTGGGGGAAATAGTCAATTCTATACAGGTAGATCTGCCATTCTTTAAAAATGGAAGTCTGGGGACGCCTGTGTGGCTTGGCTGGTTAAGCCTCTGCCTTCTGCTCAGGTCATGATCCTGGGGTCCTGGGATTGAGCCCCACATCGGGCTCCTCGCTCAGAGGGGAGCCTGCTTCTCTCTGCCTCTGCCTGCCACTCTGGCTGCTTGTGCTCTTGATATCTCTCTCTCTCTCTCTCTGACAATTAAATAAATAAATAAAATCTTTAAAAAAAAAAAAAAAGGAAGTCTGGGACGACCTGGTAAAGAACCCTGAACCACCAAGATGAAGGCTGAAGGCAAAGGGAAGGGGTCCTTGGCTGGCCCAGTTAGTAGAACGTCTGACTCTTGACGGTCGTGGGTTCAATCCCCAAGCTGGGGGTAGAGATTGCATTAAAAAAGATAAAATCCTCAAAAAAGAAAAAAAAGTAAAAGGAAGTCTTTGAAGGCAAAGGGAATACGAACTGGTTAGTAAAGGAGGGGAAGTTATTCATACCAGCTATGGTTTTGTAGAAAAAGTCTGTATAAAAAAAATATATTTCTCTTCTTGCTGTGGCAAGTATATTTTTACATATTTTCAATCTCCCATTCTTCTCTCCCTCTTTCCACTCTTGCGTCTAGGGTGTATTGGTGGTAATTAACTTTACAGCATAGTTCATAGTTTGCGAGACATTGAGATGGGCTAGTAAACAAAAAATTGCAGGAGGGACGAACATCCGAGAATCCTGGCCTTGCAAAGTGGGTGTGATCATTGACAGACGTTGAGTCGTCTCCCTTTGGAAGAAGAGTGAATATATTTTCGGCGGAAAGAGGAGTAGATGCTTTGTACTTGGGAGGCTTATACTATTTTACGATTACAGGAATGTGATTACGTGGCTGCCGGGCATCGCAAATGGTGGGACATCGGTCATTTCTTTGGCGGCCCAACAACTTCTCTTCCTGTTTTGGGGAATTCGTTTTTGTGGGTGGTGTCTGGAGGGCAGGGTGCCGGAACAGCATTATACAAGCCGACGAGGACAGACCCTTCTCTTCCCACGGCTGCCTTGGTACAAGAAAGGATTCCTAGTGGAGTTCATCTGACGTTTCAGGTGTCCTGTCTAGTTCCCCTTTTCCAGCCTGACCCAGCAACCCCACGTGCCCTCCCAGGGCCCTTGGGTGGGGGTGCCTGACGCAGGGTGGCTGGGGAGCAGCTCCAGGGCACCCAAGACAGGCATGGGCGCTCTGACCTCAGCTCAGGTCCAGGGCGAGGTGTGGCCTTCCAGGTGGGCAAAGCTCTAAGGAAGGTTTGCTTTTTTTCTTGTCTTCCCTTTCCAAGGCAGAAGGGACAAGCCTTTCAAGCACCAGGAGAGGGAGCCTGCTGGCAAGGAGCTGCTTACCTCTTCCCTACGAAGGCCTTTTGCCTTCGCACTTTACCAGGGTCTGGGGTGGCACCCGTATTGGGGGAGTGGGTTGCAGTCGGGTACAGGCTTTAGGGTCTCACAGACCTGGGTTAAAATCCCACCACTGACCGAGAAACCACTAATCTCTAATGATGGTAAAATTTTCAAATTAAGAAGACAAGGGGTGCCTGGATGGCTCAGTCTTTAGGTGTCTGCCTTCAGCTCAGGTCAGGATTCCAGGGCCCCACATCAGACTTCCTGCGCGGCGGGAAGCCTGCTTCTCCCTCTGCCACTCGCCATGCTTGTGTTCCCTCTCTCACTGTGTCTCTCTCTGTCAAATAAATAAAATCTTTAAAAAAAAAATTAAAAAGACAAAGTGTAGCAGGGATGAAACATGATGCAGGTTCTATGGAAAGTAGAGGGGTGATTCCTCAAGAAATTAAATATAGAATGACATAGTAGGACCCAGCGATTCCACTTGTACGTATATACCCAGAAGAATGGAAAGCAAGGACTCAGACTGATGTTTGTGCCCCAATGTTCACAGGAGCCTTGTTCTCGATGGCCCAGACGTAGAAGCAACCAGGCGTCCACTGATGGGTGAAAGGATACACGACATGTGGGATAGACAGACAATGGAATATTGTTCAGCCTTTAAAGAAGGACATTTCAACACACGTGGCAGCATGGATGAACCTCGAAGATGTCAGGCTAAATGAAATAAGCCAAAGGACAAATATGCTGTGACTCCACTTACATCTGGTCCCCAGAGCAGTCACGTTCAGAGAGACAGGAAGTAGATGGTGGTTGCCAGGGGCTGGGGGAAGGGAGAGCGGGGAGTTCGTGTTTTGTGGGTATGGAGTTTCACTTTGGGAAAAGAAGAAAGTTCTGGAATAGATGGTGGTGATTGTTGCAGAAGAACATGAATGTATTGATGCCACTAAATCGTACACTTAAACGTGGTTAAAGTGGTCAGTTTCATATTGTGTATATTTTAACACACACACACACACACAGCCCTGTGGCCAAGCAAAATGCCTCTGGGTCCCATTCAGCCCCGCTATGAAATCTGACACAGGGAATGGAGGCAGGAAAGGCTGGGGGCAAGGTTGGAATCTGGGATCCGCAGGGTCAGAAGGATGGAGAACCAGTGGTTAATGGAAGCAGGGGACAGCCAAGGCTTGAACTGGCCTCCAGCCATCCGTGTGGCCTGTACCGATCAGACACGAGCCCCACCTTAGCACTCTCCCTTCCTCTATCCCCACTGTCCCTTCCCCGTCCAAGTCTCCTCACCCTGCAGTGGCTTCTTCCTCTCTGACCTTTGGTCCATCTTCCATTGGCTCGGGCAGTGAATTGCTAAAACCTGGATCTGACCACGTGTCTCTCCTGCTTAAAATCCTTCTGCAGCTCCCCATTGCCTCTGCTCAGCCTTGCAAGCAAAGCCATTCCCAGTGGACTCCAAGCTGTTTCCCCAGTCCTGCCTTTCCCGAGCCCCAAGTTCCTTTATGTCCATAGCCACTTTGGAGTACCTTCCATGTGGCAGTTCGTAAATCTTGTCCTTAATTTTTCCCACAACCCTGCGAGGTCAGGACCATTGACCCATTCTAGAGATGGAGAAACTGAATCTCACACAGACTAGGTCAGACCCAGAGATCCACGCTCTTTTCACCACTTGGCGGCTCCTCTGTCATTCACTCTGGTGCCTCAGTGCCTTTGTTTATGCATGAGTGTATCTTAGCCTTCAGGTTTGGGGCAGAATCATGTCTGACCATCCTAATGGGCCCTCTGCCCTAGGCATTCCCGATCTTGTTTTCTTGACGGTTGTTCAACATGGTGGGAAATCCTCTTACCTGCTTACAAATTCAATATTCTTTTTCCACTAGAATGTAAGCTACAGGAGAGCAGGGATCGCGCCCGTCTGACACCCCCGGCACCGGGAACGCGCTTGAGTGCCCCCTGGCTGCTCAATATAGCGCTGATGAGCTCCGTTTGATCCCTCCCGGCCCCAGGTCTGGCCCTCCCTCCCGCATGCGCCCTCAGTCCTCTGATGCCGGTGCACCTGCTGGCCCTTGCACCAGGGCTTATTTTTTCATTCTTGGGTCTCCCCCATAGACCCCAGCAGCCTGGGCACGGCGCCTGGCTTACCCCAGTGCTCAGCCGCCTCTTGTAAACACCAGAAGCAACATTGCAATATCCCCGGTTGGCATTTGGTTGGTTCCCGCTCCCAGGCAGAAGCTTTCAAAGGGGACCAAGCCTTCTGGGAGCGGGGTCCTCCCCCTGCCTCCCTAGGTCAGCCCAGGTCACAGAGATCAGTCCGCCTTCCGGAGGAAAGCTAGGTCAAGGGTGCAGAGAGCACAGCTACCAGCGGCAGCAAGTTTTATTGCGACCAGAATCTCCTGGTCATGGGAGGGGGGTGGGGCTGAGGGACATTCGGTCATCGATGCCATGTTTCCAGTCCAGGACATGGAGCCGAAGGTCTGGCTGGCTATGCTGTGCCTCCCCCCACCCTGTCCCGCCCCCAATCACGGCATCCCCCGGGGCTGAGACAGAAGGCAGGTGGAAAGGGGAGTCCGTCTTGGCAGAGCCTTCATCCAAGGGAGGTGAGGGAAGGAGGAGCAGTCGGCGGTGGGGGTCCAGCTGGCCCAAGATGCTCAGGGCCCTTTGGGCTGACTTCTGCAGGTGTCCTTAGTGTGTTTTAGGGGAAAGCAATGAGGCACACTCTGCCCCTAGGAAGAGCCTGGGAGGGAGGGAAACAAAGGCTCAGAGAAAGAAATCACTGGCCAGCGACCACACAGTGGGACCTTGGGAATCCTGACTTCTAGGCCCGGGCTGCATTGCCCCCTGCCTCCCAGCATTCACTCCATCCTGAGCACCCGGCCTGGCCAACCTTGGTCCTACGTGGGGATCTGCATGTGGCCCAGGTCCTGGTCCATGATCTGGAGGACGTCATCCAGGATGGAAGGCCCCAGGTCCACGTGCAGGGAGAGCAGGGAGCTGGCATGGGACAGGAAGGGCTCCTCGGCCCCTGACTCAGGGGTCAGCCCATTGTGGGCAGAGTCAGCCTCTGGAATTCTCCAGATGTCCACGTTGCCTGCCTCCTGCAGGGAAGGCTGTGGGGAAGGCTGCGGGGTCTCCAGGTGCAGGCGAGGGGGTTTGGGTGGGGCCTGGCTTGTGGGCAAGGTGAGGGCCTGGGGCCCACCGATGACAGGGAGGGAGATGGCATTCTTGAGCAGAGGGGATGGCCCCTCGGGGAGCTCCCGCCCGCACAGCGTGGTGGTGCGGGTGAACTGGAAGGGGAGGTCGAAGGCGCCATCCTCCTCAGGTCCCTCGACTGCAGTCCCTGGCAGGAGGTGGAACTTGCCCTGCAGGAAGGAGATGTCGCCGAACATGTCGCTGCCCCCGCCGCTGCCAATATGGATGGTGTGGCGGAAGTCCCCCAGCGGCGGGCTGATCATGTCCGACGACAGCAGGTCCCTCAGCTTCTCCTTCTTGCCCTTGCGGCTGCCACGCTTCAGGTAGATGGGCACCTTGGTGGACATCGTGACCTCAGCACCCAGGCTTGGCTCCTGGCACTGGGGACAGTGGGGACCGTGGCCTCCTCTCACGGCCTCAGCCACAGACACCAAAACCTTGGTGAAGGGCGAAGACTGATGTGTGGGATGTGACCGAAGATGTCCCAAGGGATGAGAAAAAGAAAGAAGTCAGAAGGCTGAGACAACAAAAATCAGTTTCTCCCCAAAAGAGTTGAAAATGCTCTGGAAAACTAGCAGCACCGAAGTGGAACTCTTGGAGACAGCCGCGCTCTCCCGTCTTGTTCTCACGAGGGTCTCCCGGGGGGGCTGAAGAGCTGAAACACCAAAGGTGCAAGTCAGGGACAGAAGGACACAAGGCAGAGGCGTTGGTGTCATTTCTGAGGCCCCTGTGTCGGCCCCAGGAGCCCAGGTGGGGCCACTCCTCTGCGAGAAGCCACGTTGGAGGAAGCACGTTCGCTTGCGGACTCACTGCCCCTGGGAGCCTGGATCACCAGCACTGAGCCCCTCTCCTGATCCAAGAGGGAAGTTGAGGCCTGGGAACCTGGGTGACAGGCCCAGAGTCATATCCAAAGTCCTGGCTTTGGTCTCTCGCCCTGGGTCTCTGGCTCTGCTTATCGCTTTTGCCTGGGTTCTGCATCAGCTGTGCCCCAAGACATAGCAACTGTCAAGTTCATGTGGGGAGGTCTCTCAGACCTGTCTTGGTCCCCTACTGGACCAACGAGAGAGATTTTGTGAACCCTGTCTCGGCCACCTGCCCGTGCCAGGCCTGGACACGTGGCAGGTGTTCGGCCAACAGGGCCGAATGACAGATGCCTTGGTTGGGCCCAATCTCATCCCACCCAGAAGTGAGGCCATGCCAGAGTGCCCCTTCTTTCCTCCAGGTTGGCAGTTCCCAGCTCCGGGACGGAGTCTGCCATAGTTACTGTCCCTCCACCCTGCCCAGCGCCTGAGGGGAAGATGCAGTGGAGGGTACAAATATTTTGCGGGGCTCTGAGCTGTGCCTGGCATTTTGCCGAGTTCCTTGCAAACGCGTCTCATTTAATCGTTGCCATCACTCTCCTCTCATCCCCGTTTAAACACCCGACCCAGAACACATGTTGCAGGGATTTGCACAAGGCATTGACGAGGGAGAGAAGCAGAATGCAAAAGGGTAGTATGGAAGATTCCATTTCTGGGGCACCTGGGGGGCTCAGTTGGTTAAGCGCCTGACTCCTGGTTTGGCTCAGGTCACGATCTCAGGGTCATGAGATCGAGCCCTGTGTCGAGCTCCACCCTCAGCAGTGAGTCTGCCTGAGACTCTCTCTCTCTCCCTCTGCCTCACTCAAATAAATAAAATCTTAAAAAAAAAAAAGATTCTATTTCTGACAGCAGTGACCAACTCCCCTCTGCTCTGTCCCTTCCCCGTGTATGCACGCAGGTATGTGTACCTACAGATACGATCCGAGTAGGATTATACCCTATATAAAAAGAGAGAACCTGGGTGCCTGGGTGGTTCAGTGGGTTAATCCTCTGCCTTCAGCTCAGGTCATGATCTCAGGGTCCTGGGATTGAGTCCCGCATCGGGCTCTCTGCTCTGCAGGGAGGCTGCTTCCCCCTCTCTCTCTGCCTGCCTGTCTGCCTACGTGTGATCTCTGTCTGTCAAATAAATAAATAAAATCTTAAAAAAAAAAAAAAGAGAGAGAGAGAACCTGGAAGGCCAGCAGTGGGTTGTTATATGGGCTGTGTAGACCGCGGGAGGGGGAAGGCAGAGAAGAGGCTTGGAGTCAGTGATATGGGAGGAGAGGAGTGTCCTAGATAAAAATTACCTGTAATAGTTGGTATTGTTACTAGAAAGTGATATATGTAACTGAAAAAAGGATGGTTGGCAAAATGCTGATGACGGTTCTCTCCAGGTGGCAGATTTCAGATGATTTTGCCTTTCTTCTTCATACTTTTATAAGCTCCAAATCTGAATAATAAGCATGCGTTACTTAGGTGCACATATAATTTGTGTAGTCAGAAAAAAATAAAGCTATTTTTAATGTGGAAAAAATAAGTGCACTGTGGTGGGGTGTCATGCTGGCTTAACAGAAGAAGGAAGCATGGCAGGCCCTCCTTGGTGTTCCCACGGTTGGGGATTGGCCTTGAACATGGATATGAGAGCCCAGATGTGGAATTGGAACACAAAAGGCAAAGAAATGTGTCCAAGGTCGTCCAGAGGGTAACCAGATGAGCCCCCCTCCCCCACTGCCCCCTCCGAAGGCTGCCAAGGGGCTGAGAAGGTAGGAAATGGGCCAGGGAGGGGCGGAGCAGCAGCTCGGAGGCCTGGCCTGGTCCTAGGCCCCAATCTCTGTCCTGGGCAGGGTGAAGAAAGAATGAGGGGCTGGCAGGAGGGAGCAGGAAGGAGGAAGGAGGATGCAGGAGAGGCAGAGTCCCAACTCCCAGCCCAGGCCCTCACTCAGGAAACCCCACCCCAGGACCGGACACTCCACGTCAGTCACACTGAGCCAGAGGGACCGGACATCTTGCCCCTCCCTGAGCACCTGCAGTTTAACAGGAAACAAAGGAGTGACTCTCCAGTGGCAGAATTCCAGCTAAGCTTGGAAGGAGCTGGCGGAGGGTGGAGGGTGGGGGAGGCGGTGGATGCCTCGAGGTCCTGGGATCCCACCCCTCACTCATGGAGCGGACATTTACCTGTGATCACCGTGCCAGACCTGGGGGCATGCCAACACCCACCCGACCTGTGTCCTTGGCAGGCAAGCAGTCCTGGGGCAGCTTTTCCCTCCTTTGCACTCATGAAGAGTGGGGCAGACTGGTGGGATTTGTCATCCCCCCCCAACCCCATCACAGAGTGCGCCAAGAGAGCCTGAGTGTTTCCACAACAAATTGGGCGTCCCTGACAGCTGTCTCGCTCTAAGCCAGATGTACCCGCCCAGTTCCAGATGTGGGGAGAACTGGGGCTGGGGGGAAGGGTTGGGCCAGCATCAGCCACCCAGGGGAGAGCTGGGAATTGCAATCATCAAGCCCTAAGGATTCGGATTTGGCAAGCGTGAGACCCCAGTCTCCAGCTGCCCTCACACGGTTCCCATTTGAAAGTTCCCAGGCACAGCACGGTGGGTGTCACCACCACCTTCTACAGAGGCAGAAGCTGAACTTCAGAGACCTTAACGTTGCTGAGGTCGCCCAGCTGGGAAGAGGAAAAGTGGGCCCCAGTACCCAGCCAGGACCCTGTAGCTCTGATGCAGTGGGCCACCCAACCTCTGAAAGCCGGGGAGCAGGAAGAAAAAAACAGGCTCCCAGCTAGGCTGGGGCCACTCGGTCCCCAGACCGCCTCCATTTAAGTCCATTTGGCTGCCCCTCTCCCCTAATTCGCAAGGATCCAGAGATATGAGAATGAGCTCTCCATCAGGACAAGGCTATGGGGGGCTGGGAAGGGGTGGCTTTCCCCAGAAGTGGGAGGAGCAGATGGGAGCTTGCCCTGGACAGGAGCCCTGGGCCTCCTTCAGAGAGAATGACTTGCGGGACGCACAGCCCCTTACCTTGGCTAGGAATACTGGTCCACTCCCCATCAACGGGTGTTCAAAGAGCCACCCCCTGACCTCGAAATCAGGAGCCAGAAATTGAATCCATCTCCATCTGGGACTCTCTGTGACCTTGGGCAAGACACGTCTCCTTTCTGGCCCTCACCTTCCCAATCAATAAAATGGGCTGACAAAGCCATCACCAGAGGGCTACTGGAAGACCATACTGCCACAGTTGCAAATGAGAGATGTAGGACAGATAGGGCTGGGGATCCCTGTCAGCCCTGTCATTCATTCGACAAATAGCTGTAGGGCCTTCCTCAAGCAATTTGGTTATCCGGGGACAGTGCTCCGAAAAACCGAATACTTCCACCCTCCAAGCGACAGCCTTCTCCCTCCTGCCCTGGAGGCAGCCTGCGAGTCCCGCTCGCGGGCGGGAGTCTCCCCGGGTCCTCCGGGTCCCTGTGCGGGGCGGCGCTCGGCTCCACGGCCGCTAGGTGGCGCGCGCGCGCTCGCTCTGTCGCCCCGCATCTCAGAGGAGTCAGGGGCACCCCAAGGAGTGGCATGTTCGCTTATCAGATGCGGATCGTCTGAGGGATCTTCTTTTCTTGGGGTGTTCTGGTCTCACGACCAGACAGTAGGTGGGGAAAGGGACGATCGGGGATCTTGCCAGGGTCTCCAAGCTCTGGGAGGAGCCTCCCGCGTGCTTTCCGGCCTGGGCGATGTCCGAGTGTCCGCTCGGCGCAGGGCCAGAGCTCGGGCGAGCAGGCCCCCAACTCCGGCTCCCGCGAGTCGGGTTCCTCAGCCCCAGCTCGGGTTCCGGCGCCGACCCCTCCCCGCCCTCTGCCCGAGCACCCAGCCCGGATCCGTTTCAGGACACTCGCGGCCGCGGCTAAACATAGGAGGACACATCACCATCGACTAAAAATACGACCCCCAGCCGGGGCGGGGACGCTGGGCGGCGGTAGGGCGCTCCCACGTCCCGGGTGTGGGGCGGAGGCCAGGGCTCAGGGTGAAGGGCGGGACCACGAGTTAGGGTTCGGGATGCGCTGCCCCTTGCAGGCGGAGGGGGCGCGGGCGTGGCCGCTGGGACCGACACGCGGGCGGGAAACACCGTGGAGCCCGAGGCTCCCGGGAAAGGACATGCGCGGGGGTGACACAGGGGCCGGGGCGCGAGCCGGGACTGGGAGCCACGGGGATGGGCCTCTCAGGGGGGCCCCTGGGAGTCAGGGACGGGCTGCAGAGTCCCGGCCCGAACTCACCTTGACGCGCGCAGGCGGCGGACCCGCCGGCTGCGAAAGCTCGGGAGCTGGACCGCGCGGCTCTGGGAGGCGATCCCGGCTGTGAACTCACAGCAAGGTCCGTGGCCCCTGAAGCCCCGCCCCGGCCCGCGGAGCCAATGCCCGGGCCGCCCCCAGCCAGGCCCCGCCCACATCCCCGCCCCACTAGGGGCCTCGCCTGTGCTCCCCCTTCAGTGGCGCGGAGCCCGGGTCCCGCAGCCGCGCGGGCGCGGGGTCCAGGGCAGGCTCGGGTGGCTGCGGGCCGGGCGGTGTCGGGTGCCCCGGCTGGACTCTGCGGACTTCGGCTGCGCCTGTCGGAACCAGAGCTCTCGGTGTTCGAAGGGCCGAGGGGGCGGCCGCCGGAAGACCGAATTATAGTTCTTCAGAATTCACCGAGCGTCCTTGGACCCGTTGCTCGGTGGAGGGCTGGGTCTGGGGAGCCGCCCATCAAGTGTATGTGGTGGCCACTAAAGGAATGACTGAGACCTCGGAGGCAGCCGAGTTAAAATATTAACAAACTTGCGAGAGCTTTAAGTTTACCGCCCCCTAGAAAAGAGAGCACTGAGGGTGTGTGGGCAGAGTGGCCTGGGCACGCCCGTTTGCCCTCAGTCTAGGTGGCTTCCGGGCCCGGGGGTGGAACCCATTCGTAGTCTCATTCTAACTTCGTTTCATTCATTCATTCATTCATCCATCCATTCATTCATTCATTCATTCGGTACTAGAAACCTTTATTGAAGGGCAGGCCCTGCTCAGGGCTGTGGACATAGGCGGAAGGAACCTGCCCTTCCTCCAGTGATTCAACAGAGAGTTGAGCATCTAACAGGGACCAGCTGCTGTTCTTGTCGCTGGGAATTCGGGGCCCCAGGAAAGACGGAAAACTGAAGCTCAGGGACCTGATGGTGACCTGCTCAGCCAAAAGGCCAGACCTGTGGTCTTTGGGGCTTCTTCTTGCCTCAGGCTTGTCATCCAGCCACTGTCCCTTCTGCCCTGCCCTCCCTCCCACAGCACAGCCCTGGGAGGGGACAGCAGCTCTGTGTCAAGACTTTAGTGCTGTCTCTGAGCTGTGGATCCGGGTGGCGTGCTGACTCTGCTGCCCCCTTGCTCTGTGGCCATAGGCAAAGGATGGTCCCTTTCTGAGCCTCTTTGCCTGTAAAAGGAAAGTTACATGAGTCCCCAACAAGATAAGAAACTTGTCTGTGCTTTCTGGATGGGAACACAGGCCCCACAACGGTCACTTTTATACAAACATTAGGACAGTTGCTTTGGGGGACAGCAAGCTGGCCTCGCCCCCTGACCTAGAATGACTCCACTGATGAGACCTCCTGAGCCTGCAGGAATGTGGCTGAGGCACAGCCCCCTACCCTCTGCCCATCTGCTGAGAGTCCTCCTTTGGGGGAAGGAGGTTGGGAAGGGTCGAGAGCGCCATTCAGAGCTGGTGACAAAATAGAAAGTTTCAGGGATGGAAGTTCAGACAGGCAAAGGCACTCATCAGAAGCCACATGACCCTGGGAACCAGTTCCAGAGCTCTTTGGAGAGGTTTGGGGGTGGGGAGGCTGTTGGGGACCATTAGGGGATGGGTAGAGAGCAGGGCATTTGGCCACATCAGCCAGGCCCTAGCCCCTGATCCCCCCCCACTTAGCGACTGATGAGCCTTCTCTGCAGCCTGTCAGGCCAGGACTCCTAACCGGGGCCCAGAGCCCAGAGCACACCATCTGTGCTCTGGGGACTGTCTTAGGTCCCCTGGATGTGACAAGCTTCCAGTTCAGTGGTGGCTCCCCATGTGGCTCAGTGTACCCGTCATCAATCCGAGCTCGAGCTCAGGGCGGCCGCCTGCAGAAAGCCTACACCGGAGGCATGATTGCGGCCTGGTGGGGGGTTCGCGGCTTTGCAAGCACTCGGGAGAGCGCTCCATCCTCTCCGCACAGATGAGGTTGGGTCACTCCGCTGGGGCCAAAGGAATGCCCCGAGGTGCCCGCTGACAGCTCCTCTCCTCGAGCTTTTGCTGAATGGGCAGGATCTTTGCACACACACACGGGCTGCTGTGGAAGCCCAGCCATCAGCGCGCGCTTATGAACCGGGACTTCTTTTGCTAAAATTGGCGCTTTTTTACGCAACTTCTCAGGCTGTGTGTAAGGGCCTGAGTGTGGGCGGGGAGGCTGGGATCCCGGGCCAGGGGATAGCGCCAGGGTGTCCTGCTTTTCTGACTCAACAGACATTCAGGTCAAGTGTCCTGCCCCCTGCCCTGCCTGCACCCCGTGTCCAGGGTCTAATACCTCAGCCAAGGCCTGGACTGTTCTCCCTGGAAGGGCTCCTGGGCGCCCTGGGGGCTGAGGGGGCAGGACCTGAAGGGCGTTTGGGTAGGGTCAGGCACGAGGAAAGCTACGGATGGAGAAATGCCTGGAATGGGCTATTGAACTTCCTTCTCCTCCACTGGGAGCTCTCTCTGGCCCTGAGATGGGTCCTGCTGGTTTCTCCCACCCCATGGCTGCTCCCCCCTCCCCCATAGGGCCCTGTAATCACCACACAGTGACTGACTCAGCCCATCCTTCCCCTCCCAGCCCCTTCTTCCTGGAAATCATCTACGTCAGCAGCCCCAACCCCTGTGGACAGAATCGGAAGCCCCTTCTTCATGGTTAAGTGGGGAGGATGGGGGGGCTGGCAGGGAAGGACCCCCCCCAGGGTGGAGCCAGCTCACCACAGCCCCACCTATCTGGGAAGCTAGGGCCCTGGGAGGCAGGCGGGAGGATGGGGACCAGGAGTCGGGGGGCAGGACTGAGAGCAGAGAGTCACAAGGGAAGCGTGGCAATAATCTTGCGGGCAATCTAGAGGGCCAGTGAAAAGAGACAAAGTATCTGGAAGGGGCATTAGCACCCTTCCAGGGCCGTGGAGCAGCAGGGAGCTGGGCAGAAGCTCCGTCCGCCCCTGGAAGCCTCCTCCACCCCAGCCCGAGCTCAGCCTGCAGGGCCCCATGGCCTCAGCCAACCCCAGGCCTGGGTTGGATTTTTCCTTGATTGTTTCTTGTTTCCTTCCTCCCCTGGGCTCCTGCCAGCTCCGGCCCTGCCCTCCTCGCTCTTCACCCTCCTTTAGAGAAGTCTGTTCAGCCAGAGCCTGAGACTCGAGATGGGAGTCCTTTTGGAGCTGCCCCCTGCTTCTGCCTCTGTCTTGAACCCCTCCTGGGGAGCTGGGTATCAGGGCCTTGTGGGGAGGACTTTCCTCTGGGTCTGGATTTTGGCTCCAGGCCCAGAGCCATGGGGGTTTCCAGAGTGGTGACAGCTCTGTCCTAGGAGGGACCAGCCCAGGCATTTCCCCCAGACGTCTCTGTGAGCACCCAAGCCCATGGCTGTCCTTTGGCCTGGGGAACACAGAGTCAGCAGGGGCAGTCTTCAACACTTCCCACCTCCTCAAGACACCCTGTCACCATTCATTTTGAAAACTCGTATTTGATTCTACTTCTTGTCTATGGCTGTGCTGGACCAGGGAAGACACAGATGGCCAAGACTGGTCCCTGGCTTGCAGGGAACAGATAACCCCAAATGAAACTAATAACCAATCCTAAAACAGCACATTCTGTGCCATAAAGGAGGTCCTCCAGGGTAGAGGCTGGCTCTGATTCCACTCCATCTATCCCAGGCCAGCCTGGATGAGGCTCAGTTAGTGACTGTGGATTGAAAGAAGAACTAGAAAGATCAGAAAAGAGAAGGGTTTGTTTTGCTAGAGGTGAGGAAGCAGATGGGAGTGTTAAGAAAACTTCAAGGAGGAGGTGATACTCGAGCAGGGTATTAACGGGTGAATAGGAGTTCGCCGGACAGGGAAAGGGAAGGGCGTTCCAGGGGGAGCAGGCAAAGGCCGAGGCAAAGGTCAGGAGGAGTACAAGTGGATGCCTCATGTGATTGGGGGAACAAGAGCTATCCAGAAGATCGTGGCACAGGACAGAGGGAAAGGGTAAGAGGGTAGTGGGTGAACACAGTCTTCCTTGCCCAGCATCCATCCCTCTTACTCTGGGGACCACCGCTCAGTTTTCCAGAGTCTCCAGCATGACTAACCCCACCCCCAAGGCAAAAGCCTCCCCCTTACTCCTGCCCCCCAGGCGTCCATTCTCCCTGCAGACAACCAGCATTATCAGCTTCTTGTAAACACTTCTGGAGATACTCTTGGCCTGTGCAAGCAAAGCCCCTCCCATCCTTTCTACACAAATGGCAATATCTAGGCGAGTAGGGCCCCCCCAGGTCCCGCAGGTCCTGGTGGCCGTGGTGGGGGGAGAACAGGCTCTACTGTCAGAGGCAGGGGAAGGGACCCCACAGGGCATCTCACTGAGCCTCTGCCCTTCCCATTCCTCTGCCCCTTGCTTTTTCCAGTTAACATTAAATTGTCCTTGGTGTCCCTCTTTTGCTGCTGCCTAGCGTTCCAGGCTGTCCTGGTGTACCTAAGTCGTTCTCAGCCGGTGGCCCTTTCGGTCATTGCCAGCCCTTTCCTATGACAAGCAGGGCTGCTGTGAGTCACCTCATACAGTTGCCCATTCACACACACGTGAGCACAGCTGCGGAATCATTGCTACGCGAGGGGTGAGGGGTGGGGACATGCGCAGCTGTCATTCGGTCAGCTCTGTGCTGGTCCTTCCAAGGGGTGTGCCCGGCACCAGGCCCCTGCCCAGACCGCGGGCCCCTCTCTCCTCAGCCTCCCCGAGTGCCTGCTTCTCCAGCTCTTTGTTCTCTGCTCGTCTGCAAGGGAGAACGAGACCTAGCGGAAGGAGGCTCCGGGTGGCTTTAGTGTGTGTCTCCCCTAAGCGAAGTGTTTGGCCGCCTTTTCCTTGGCTTTGGGGCCCAATCCTCGTTCCTTCCTTCTCTGGCTGCTCACTTAGGAAGGTCGCTTCAGAGATGGGGACCTAGAGCGAGGCCTGACCACAGGCAGGGGCCGCTCTGGGGACCGTTGGTTCAAGAAAGAGACAGAGCCTGGCTCTGAGCTGTGGGGTAAAAGCCAGAGTTGGAGATAATAAAGTAGGAAGATTGGAATTTGGTGACAGACCGGCTACGGG